TAGATGATAATTGTAAGGAGAAATTTACCAAATCATAATTATAGCAAATATTTCTAAGATTAGTTGAAATTCATTATATTTTGGGGAGAGCTCCTGATTCAGATGTTGGTACGTGGAGGTGGTGTTTGCAATACAGAATTTTACCAAAAAATTCTCATCTGTACTGCCACCATTTCAGTTTTGCCAGCATTATTATTGGGTTCCTACTATGCACAAGTGACTTGATCTAATGTAAGTCAACTGTCGGTAGTACCAGATATAGCTTGCTTTAATGCAGCTTACATAAATAGCTTCTTTTCCATATAGCAGAAGATTAAGACTTACAATACTCTTAATACTCGAACAGAAACATTTCATCGATGTGTTACGTTACATGCAAATGGTATTCACCCCTTTTAAAAAAGCTGGCCTTCTGATAGTTTGAAAGCCAACCACAAGCCTATTAATGAAATCCAAGAGGCACCTTTTTCTCAAACAGAAAAATAGACCTAGAATAATGTTCAAGGCTGTCTTGTACATTAGACTTTTGAAATCTTGTTACTAATGGTACAGTGCTGCTAGTGGTAGCAGGCTTCCAGCTAGTAACCAGTTGGACCTGCCCATGGTAAGAACACCAGTACCCTATCTGTATTAGTGTTTCCAATGTTGCTAGCCAGAGAAGTGTATTGGTGGTAATAAAATGGTGAGCAGTGTAGACAAGGGGAGTGTATTGTAGGTCTATACTGGATATCCTCTTTATATTAGAGGCAATATTGTTAAGAACTTTTTAGCAAAAGTATTCATTGTGTATCTTGTCCACTTGTGTACTGTGTGTAAGAACGTGTGCATTTCTTTTGTAGCCACGCCATGAATACTTTAATGTCCCAGTGTACTAAATGACTTCATTCATCATGCATGCAGAGTTCAGAGAGGAGGTAGACCTGACTTACTCGAGGCAGAGAATATTATCCTCAGCTTGGTGCATCCAATCATCTCGAACACAATAGAATATTACAACCATTATCTTTGCTGTTGTACTTTCTTTCCCCTCTTCTGTTTACATTGTTGTCTCCTCATGTCTTGTCTTGATAAAACTTGTTCTCGTCAGTATATGATTTAATTTCTTGCTATGTGAAAAGTTTTTAAAGTGTCGTTTTAACATTTGTCTGGAAATCTATTTCAGCTTAAATCTGCATATACTGTAACATTACTGGACCTGAGTTTAACTTTTAAATAGTTAACCTATGTTGGTACATAAAAATAAATATTTAATAACTGACCAAACAATTTAGATGTTTATGTAGAGCAAGTAGCAATCCCGTTAGGTACCGTGAGCCTCCTTTAAAATGCAGAGAATGTATGCATACACACTTTTTTACATATAGATGACGCATTGCACATAAAACTATGAGTAAAAACGTACACTTGTGTGTGTATAATTTATAAAATGTACACACGCCTCTACAAAAAAGCTCAAAAATAATATACTTTTCCTTCCTTTAAAATGTCTTTGTTGAAGCAGTGGTGATTTACTATCTAAGGTGCCAATACAGACAAGAAGGGGAGAAATTGTTATGTCGGTCCTCTGGGGCTCTGCATGCCTCTGCAATGCCTTCTGGCAATGCAAAACTGAAGAGTTCTGACACTATATTGATATGTTTTAAAGGTTGAATAATCTGCAGTTTCTAGCATTGAACAATTATTTTTTCCAGTTATGAGAATTAAAATTACTAGCTAAGTTCATTCCCTTCTGCCACCCAGTAGTTTATAAAGCCTGTTGTTCAGTCGTCAGTGGCATATTGAAATCTTAGTCTTCATTAATCAATATTTTTAGTTTTAAATACGAGTTTTATTGTTTAACAGAAGGATAACTGCCACTTTAAAATATTAAAGTAAACAATTCTGAATGTATGCAGAGCAAGGAAAAGATTTATATTTCTCCCTGTTGTTTAGTGAAACGGACTGTTACGTTGTAATATATGTATATAATTGACTTTCTTTGGGAGCAGAGTTTTACATAACCTTAAATAGAAAGGGTCTGGTTAAATAAAGCAACCATGCATAATTATAAATGATTTATATGTGGTAATGCACTACCTAATAAATGTCAATCTGGCTTTAAAAAATGGGGTCCATGGAGATGGGAATATTTTAATTAAATTTGCAGTGTTCTCAGATGTTTATAGAAAACAAGATCCTGGGGTGATTTTTTTTTTTAACTTTTTCTCAAGTTTTGCTGCTCTTTTTTGTTGTAAGGTGTTAACAGTTTGTGAATATATGTGGTTAATGCTGCTTTAACCTGCATTCTCTCATGCCTGTTGGCCTGAAATGCTATGCATTGAGCTGTAATGAGATGCTGTTTCCTTGTTATCTGTATATAGCTGCTTGCTTCTAAATGACTAGGTCATGAATTAGCTTTCCTAGCATGGTTGAAATAAAGTATTGCATGCACTTCTGTCTCATGTGAATGGCTTTTTTCCCTTCATCTCTTGGTTCTGTTGTTTCAAATTTCCATTGTTTGCTGCAGGCATTTTTGAGCTGCAGATATATAATCTACAATGCTGCAAAACATGATCCACAACAATTAGATGAAAATGTGTGACAATATTTTTCTTAAATGAATAAAATGTAAACTTTAACTGTAGGGCAAATCAGCTCTTTTTGTTGGGTGGGTCAGTCTAAAGGGGTGTTTCTAGCTGTAAACTTTTACAAACTGCTAGATGTGCCGAACTGGAATGAAGAGGGCTGCTGGTAAGAACACAGAAAATGTATTGATCTCAAGACTAGTATTATGGTGCAATAAGCTTACATCTAGACTTCCTCCTGGAGTCTACCTCTAGATTTTTAAGAACACAGGAGCCAGTAAAACGTTCTTGTTTGGGTATCTGAATTGTGAATAAGCTAAAATGTTTATATACGAGTTGTTGCCTGGAAAAAGCTGTTATCTTTGACTACAGTTCAAACTTCTCCAATTAAAGATGATTGAAATGGAATATACAGTGCCAACAAAACTGCAAAGGAAGTTTTAAGTGGCAACTTTAAGTAGTAGTTACTGCATAGTTACTGGAAAGTAAGTCTTTCATAGTAATTTGGTATATAACCCATTTCAGTACAGGTGTAGCATAGGTGACCACTGTTTTCCAATCCATTACAACTAGAACTTGGAAAAAAACTAGGTTGAAAAATATTTGTTATTAAGCACCCAGAAACTTACACAAGAACTTGACTATTCTTCCCTCTCAACCCAGCCAAAAGAATGCAGTTTAGCATTGTATAATACAGCATTTATGATGATAATGCTTTAAATTAATGTATGGGGAAGATGCATGTCCTTTAAAAGGACATTTTCAGGTAATTGTTTTAAATTGGCTAACATTTTTTTTGTAATATTCTTAAGCATGAAAATGCTGTTTCTTTTCATACCAATTTTGACTTTTCATTCTTGATTCATGTTTTCTTCTATTGCAGAATAGAATTCTGCATATGTATTTTAACATGTTTACAATTTATAGTGTACCAGAACTGTTTCACGCTAGCATCAAGGTCAATCCATGTCTCGGAACCTTAATTTAATTGTGAGAGAGTGCAATATGCCTGAGCTTTTCAGATATATTTGTCCCTCTTGACCTTCTCTTATTTTAATGAAGAATGGGATGGTGTGGAAGAGTTTTATCTATTACAAAGTGGGTTGAGAGGAAAACTCATCAGATTTAATCTAAACACATAACAGTTTTAAGGCTTTATTCCCGATTTTCATAGATGTGTATTTCTAACATTGTTGGAAGTTGTGCATACACTGAGGGCAGGATAAAACTTTTGAACTAGTATTGAACTCGTCACCTTTTCAAATAGTTCAATACTGCGGTAATCCCAAATACATTTGAAAGCAGGTGTATTTTACTGTGTCACTTTTAATATTAAAATAATTTTATACATGAGTTAAACTGATTTATAAACTTGGTTGTTCAACATTCCTGTTCTTAAATGCTAGTTTTAAATTATGAAGCTCCTCAAGTAAAATAGTTGCAAGACTAGTAAATTCACTGTTTTACAAGTTATTCAGATGGATTTAAAAAACTAAGCTTTGTGAGGATTTGTTGCTTAATTATCTTTCTTTTTCTTGCTTCATGACATGCCTTGCTTTAGGATGCTAAAGTAAGTTTATTCATTCTCTGAGCATTATAAGTAAGATTTTTTTCCTTCTATAAAGACACAGTATCCCTTTTTATTAATCCAGATATTGCTAGTAAGTATGATAATGGACATCTTATCTTTTTAATGGGATATTTTCCAGCTGCTTAGAAATACATATGTTCAAATTGTGGAACATATACATATGTCATATAAAACATGAAACAATTTCTTGCTTTATCAAAAGTCTCCACTGAAAGTATAGTGGGATTCCTTTCTTTTAAAGGTAGAATTGAGCCCAACAGTTGTGCTGAATCTAAAGCATTGAAGCCTCAAATATTGGACTTTCAATCTAGACTGGTCATTTCATTCACATGAAGTATTTGCTATCAGATATATAGCACTACCTCCAGTCGGGAGAGCTATTTTGTGAATTTAATATTACTGAGTCTGATAAAGATTCATTTCCAGAATTTGAGGATGATAAACGATTTAAGGGATATTGTATCTCTAAGTTGCATTTCATTTTTACTTGAGTGGAGGCCTGAGTGAAGTGGTATGTCACAAAATGAAATAACTGATTTCATTTCAAGATTTTCTTTATTCCTGTTTATATTGCTAAGTTGCTGCTGGCATGTCTGGCTTTTATTTTTAGTGTTAATGGGCTATAAAACCTACACACTCTTCTTATGACTTGTGACAGACTTCTTAGCTGCATTTCTAAAATAACTGTTAATATGCATACAAATTCTTGTTTTTTATTCTTCCACAGTTTTTGTTTTTTCTCTTTTTTTAGTTAAGCATTTTCCATTTTAACTTTTCCATATACACTTTTAAGTCCTAGGAGCATAGAATCTGTTTACCACTATCTTCAAATTTTTCCTTCACAGGAAGCTGAGACCCCACGTAGCGTACTTGAAGAAATTGGATTGACATAAATCTTCTCCTCTGATGACGTCTCATGGTGTTTCATACTGTAAATGTTCACTGCCTTCATTTTAATGTTTAGCTGATGGTGTGAGATGCTGTTTGTCAGTATTACTGTTTTGCTAAGCTGCTTCATTCAAGCCTACAAGAAAATATTCGATTTAAAATGAGAAAAGGGATAAAAAATTTAAAATATCCAAAAAAGGACAAATGAAAGGGAATTCAATGTACTAACTCAAAGACACCTCTTTTCAGTGCATTTATAGAAAACCACTGGTAATAACTTCAATAATTACACAGATTTTATAATTCAGGAAACATGCATCGGCTTCTGTATGACATACCATATTTCACTGAAAGAAAACTACATGTAAGAACTTCCAGTGATGAAATGTAACAATGCAGAACTTGGTTTTATGCAACCAAAGACTTATTTGTTCATCTGCATTTTAAGTCAGCATTTGTGATTTTTTTTCCAGTTAATATAAAAAGATTGGGAATAACTGTTTACTACTGAATTTTTTTAAAATTATTATTATTATTATTATACCAAAGAACCCTGTTAAAATCTGCATACTGAACTGGCAGAAATTGTAAAGGTGGCTTCATTTTTAGCAAGAGACCTGCAAGCAGATTAATTAATATGACACAATAGTATGAAGACTTTAAACAAAACAGTACATGAGTTCGTGTGTTACAAAGGGAATGCAGATTGTAGGAAATTTCCTTTTTGAAACACTATTTTTATGTGCTTTTTGGCTTACACTCTGGACATATCTATGGTATGCTTTACCGTTCTCACTGCGCAGATGAGGAAGTGCATAATGTGAAATGGAGTGTTTTGAGATCATGAAAGGAAGGGAAAAGTGAATGTCCAATTTAAGTTCTTATTTTGATTCCCCAGAAACAAGACCTTTTTTTTCTTTCTTCATTTTACTGGTATCCTGTGGTTATGCTGACATGGGAATACGAGCACTGATTATTAAGGAAGTGTGACCATCTTCATTTATTCAATGTTTTCACTTGCACCTTTCATACACATGCCACACCTATTCAACTACTACATTTCATCAAACAGTGGTGTACATTAGAGCCAAACTAATTCATTTAGATCTTGTTGCAAATGGAATGTCAGTATGTAAATGAACAAATGATCAAGTAAAATACACCAAAATATATTGTATTTTGACAGTTCTAGGAGGGGTTGCAGCATATTCCACGTTTAAGTGTTTAAAGATGATGAGATTTCAGTATAGAACACTGTTTTGTGGCTGAGAAATCAGTGCTATTTTTTCTGAAAATATGTATGAATTAGCAAAGTTCTGCTGGATGTACCCGCAGCGATCACAAGCTGTGTGTGTGGTATTTTCTTTATTTTGGGGGGGGAGGGGGACGACTAGAGGACTTGCAGTGGAATTTGAAGTGGTCTTAGCTGCGTAATATTTCAGTTTGTGCTTGAAGCAAGCAATGCCACACACTTCTATTCATTTCAACTTATACCATCTACCAGACCCTGGCGTATCAGATCCGTACAAGATCATATTTGCCTAAGATGCACAGGAGCTTAGTTTCACATTGTAGTGACGTAAAATGTGCAACAAGAACAACAACGAAAGTAGAAGTGGTATTAGAATGCCCCCCCTGTGTGTGCTGTTTGATGTGATTGAATTACCTTCATTTAAAATGTCAAACATAACTCAATTTTATATCTATTAAACAAACATGTTTCTAAGGTTTACACTGTCACTTGTACGTGCTTGGCTGGATTAAGCTTTGTTGTGATTGTGACAAATAAGCCATTTGACTTCTGTCTTAGTATATTGTCAGTTTAGTTGTAATAAATGTCCATTTTTACGCCCTTGCTGTGTAGTCATATGCAGTCAGTCTGATTATTTTGCAGGGGGGGGGAGAAAAGGAGACAGTATTACATGGCAATAATGCACAATCCAACTTAAAAGCAGGTCAGCTGCCATACCCAATACATTTATTAAAAATGTGTACTATATTCTGTCAAGGACTAGTTTTTGTACAGCATTTGAAAATCTTAACCCATTGTTGTGGTTCAGTGGTAAAATCCTTGTCTGCCACCCAGGAGACCCCAGGTTCAATTCGCGGATGCACATATAACTACAACGATTGAGGCACTGAACGTCTCGACTCAAACTGGCCTCTGGATAATGTTTCAATAGCCTAAATGGGGGATGGAAGGTACAGGCAAGCTTCACTCCTCCATACTTGTGCCTAGGCATACATGTCAACAGTTCTGGTGACCTCTCATGCATGCACCATGATCCAGAAGGATTGACTGTTTCCTACTTTTGAAAAGCTTGCTGAAAGCAATATTAACAAGTTATGAAAGCTTCACAAACACTTTAAAGAAACTTCAGCCACATGGAAGTTCAGTTTATGGAAGACTGCCGTTCCATTGATGAATCAAAGCAAAATCGCATGATGATTGAAGGTGGATAAGGGTTTTCCCCTTGGAGAATACAAACTTAATATTCATCATCATTTTAAAATAATGAAAAAATATTAGGAACTACTCAGTGCAGCATACTCGATTCTAATGTCAGCTGAAGTTGTTCTTCTAGCTGAAGAATCCATTTGATTGTTCTTTTTTCAAGGAAAGCATGAAGAAGCGTGAATTCTTACTGGTTTTACCTGAAAAAGTATAGAAAACATTAGTATCCTGTTACTTGGCAGAAACTATAATATAAAACCATAGCTTGAAGTTCAAGAGTGAGTTTCCCTGATTTGTCTATTCTGAATTATTGCCCTGTGTTTGGGGAAAAATACTGAGTGTTGGAGCAATATTTTTAAACTAGCTAAATAACAGTATATTTTTTCAAGTGTGGCAGGACAGACTGTGTGAGATTAAGACAGGTTGAGAGGGATCTATGGTCTAAACTGCTAACTCATCTAATTTATAAACTGATTCTGTGACTTTCGCCAGTTACAAAATTTACCCTGAAAAGTCTCACTTTTGGCAGCTCGGTCTCCAGTCTGCTTTGGCATCAGCTAAGTAAATGTTCTGGTTGCTTGGTTCAGTAAAGAGATGTGAAGGAGGGTGTTCAGTTTTTACTGAAATATAAATATTGAGTCAATAAACTAGGTGTGTTGTGCAGATATCAGACCAGGATGTTGTAAATGAGTTCTGCCACTAATACCTGTCCTGGATCCTCACTTCTACTTTCACCTTGCTCCTCTTTTTCTGTCAGTTCTCTTAAATCTAATCCAGTGACCCTACATTTGCATCTACTCCATCTTTTCCTCTCCTTTCTGTGCTCTGAAGCCAAAACTAAGGAATGGTGTGCTGACTCCATATTTTACAGAAAAGTACATTGATTTTTGTTTTTACAGTATGCAAAAAATGGAGGCCTGTAGCATACTGAGAATATTGTACAAACAAGTATTGTTATCATAACAAACTCAGATTAAGATTGACCAAATACTGTTATCAAGAACACCCATATCCTATCATATCCCCTTTGGCAACCTGTCTTTGTCTCCCCTCTTACCACCCCCCCCCTTTTTTTTTTAATGACTATTCTAAAACTTGGCTAAAACCCTTCTTCTGATTTCTAGTCTACATTTGATAGTGAATAGTTTGTATCCAGTGGATCTTGTAACAGTATGGCTTAGGTTAAATAGCAGTTTTCCCTGCCTCATACAACCTAGAGTAATGCAACCAGTTCTGGGTGCCACACTTCAGAAAGGATGTGGAGCATCTTGAGAGAGTCCAAAGGAGGGCCATATGCATGATTAGAGGTTGGGAGAGTAGGTCATACCAGGAGAGGCTGAAAGACTCGGGACTGTTCAGCCTGGAGAAGAGAAGACTCAGAGGGGACTTGGTGGCAGCCTACAAGTATATTAGGGGTATACATCAGGGCCTAGGGAAACATCTGTTCACCAAGGGCCCCCCAGAGGAAGACAAGATACAATGGATACAGGCTAATTGAAGATTGCTTCAGATTGGACATAAGGAAAAAACTTCTTTACAAGTTGAGTGCCATGGGTCTGGAACAGACTCCCCACAGAGGTGGTACAGTCATCTACCCTGGAAATCTTCAAAAAGCATCTTGATGCCCACTTTGCTAGGGTCTTGTGACCCCAGCAGTCTTTCCTGCCCAAGTGCAGGGGCTCAGCCTCAATGATCGTGTAAGGTCCCATCCAGCCCCTAACATCTATGAAAACCTGGCAACACATTTGGAAAGTAATTAGAGCACCTTTCTATCTTCATTTTGCTAAGTTGCACCTGATCCCTCTGAATTTTTCCTCAGATAAGGAAGGGTCACCATTCCCCTAGCCTATGCATTTCAGCTTATTCTCCCCCCGTGCCCCTCCCCCCAATTACCAACCTCAGCTTTCCCCAGTACTCTCTCTAAATGGGAACTTGCACAGTGATCTGCTTCCCTGAGTCTACTAGATATACCATGCCTCATGCACTATAGGATTATATTAGCTTTGTTCAGACACCTCACCCTGGTAGTTCATGGTAGGGATTGGCAACCTTTTCAGGCTCTGGGTTGAATTGATCCAGCTCAGGTCAGACGTAAGCCAGTGTGTGTAAGATGGGCACTACGACCCAGCAGCTACGTAAGGAAAGTACTTACTGCCACTGCTTAAGGCTAGGGCCAGAAGTTATACATAAGCAGTTTAAGTGATCAGAAACCAGTTTAAACCTGTAACAGAACAGAAATTCAATGCACATAAACTACTTCTAAAATGGCTAAACCTGGTTTAAGATAAACCTGGTTGAATGTAGCATCAGACTTAACTGATTTAGGTCAAACCTGTTTATAGAACTTCTGTCCCAGACCCCTTTGTGGTTTAAGTCAACTCAGTCCCCCTGCATCCCAGCATGTTTTACAGCCCTGGGCTGGGCTGTCTGCTCCAGTGGAGCAGGGTTGGCCCCACCCCTCTGCTTCCTAGCTGGAGCACTATCACTGCTCTGGCTGGCTGAGGTGGGAAACCCTGCTCCACAGTACTCCTTGCTGCTCAGCCGAGGAGCAGGGGACATGGCCAGACACCATTAGCCTGAAGGGAAGAAGAGGTGGTGGTAGTGGGGGGAGTTAATCTCCCCTCCCTCCTGTGGGTGACCACAGTCAGGCTCTGCCTGTCTTTTCCCTCCACCCCCCTTGCTGCTGAAGCAGCAAGCATGGGGCATAGCTACAGCCCAGCCCCCAGCCTGAGGCAAAGGCAGGGAATCGCAGAGAAGCAGGGATCTCTAGAGGTCCTCTAGTATCTAGTCCAGCTGTGGCCAGACCATCCAGCACAAGCACTACAAGCATTGCATTTCTGGAATCAAAATGTCTAGTCACTTGCTTTCCAGTTCAGTCTACGCAGGTTAGACTAACCTGCAAAGATTGAATAGATTCAGGCTTGCAGTATTTGAATGTCTGTACTTATCCTGGCTGCAGATGCTCTCCCTGCTGCCACCTGGAAAAGTGGCAGCAGCAGGTGCATCCCCTGGGCAGTCGCTGAGAAAAGTACAAGCAGTGGTATCTGGCTCTTAGCACCCACCTGCTTCTGACCTGAACTGGATCAGTCCAGCTGCTGAAGCCCCACATTCACAGGCTGGATTTAGCCTGTGGTCCCTAGGTGGCCGACCCCTGCTTTACGGTCATTTTTATAATTGATCAATATGCCCTTCCTTACTCACCGTCTCTAAGAAATGGGAACTTGTAGCCAAGTTCTCATTTCCAAATACAAATCTCAATTAGTGTTGTTTCCTACATGTATGACTTAGCTCTTCATATGAGTAGGGCATACCATTTCTATTGCTCCACATTATGAGGCTGAGTCTTCCTGTATAATAACCCAGTCCTTCTCCACAATGACATTATTCTCCAGCTTTCTCATTCACAAATTTCATAAATGTACCTCTATTTGTTTTATCAGGCACTATTGAAAACGGTAAACAGGATGGGACCCAAGCTGAATGCCTGAGGAGCATCACTGGAATAAAAGCTCTCCAGTCGGATCCACTCTCCTCGATCGATAGTCTTTCCCATAGCCAACTCCATATGCATCTTACAAAAACAGCATTAACCCTCATCTTCACCAATCAGCTAGTTTCCTATGAATACTGTAGCAAATGCTTTGCTTAAATCTCTAAGAGATTAGGTCCGCTGGACTTTCCTTATCTGAAGAAAATAATTTTTGTTATCATAAAGCCATATTTTTTCTTTTTCACCTCCATGCCCTTGATTACTTTCCCTTCAGACCCTGGACAAGTGCTATAATGTAGCACCAAATATCCCTTGTAAAATAACCAAGTGGGAGGATACAGCCATTCAAGCTGTTTGCAGCACTACAAAGAGGGCTGAAAAATAGCACCTATTTCAAAAAGGAACTTCTCCACTTTGTACTGCTATGTATAAACACCTGTAGAGTTGTACATAGCCCTACCGGGGCCTCTAAGATGTCCAGCATCCCAGAGTCCTCTGCTCATCCTCCCGCTTCCAAGGGGGAAGGAGAGCAGCTGGCTCCCTGATCCTCTTCTCAGCAGTTATTTGGGTCAAACAGGTTTATGCAATGCCTGACCCAGACCCCTTCCTGGTTTAACTTAAACCAGAATCCCCCAGCATCCCAGATGTTTTGCAGCCCTGGGCTGGGCTGTCTGCTCCAGAGAACAGGGCTGGCCCCGCCCCTCTGTTTCATAGCCAGACCACCAGTGGGGACTGCAGGCACAGCAGGTTCTGCCTGGCTTCTTCCTGCCCCACCCACTCTTGCTGTTCAAGCAGGGATGCTCCCTCCCTCCCCTCTCCCACAGCATGGACCCCAGTCCCACAGACCCTAGCTGGCACGTGGTATGCTAGCTAATGCTGAGAGGTGTCTCTCCAATATCACTGGCACAGGCAGTGTCTGCTTAGGGCTTTTTGGAGTTAATCAACAGGTCAGCTGATAATGTTTCTCCCTTCCTTTCTTGGAAAAAGCTGTTTAAGAGCTTGAACTAATGAGAGAGGCTTTTGTTTTGTTGATGGGCTGATAAACACTGCATTATCAGCCCCCTGCCGGTAGGGCAGTGCAAAGCTTCGGTAGCTGATTCAATTCAGAGGAGATTCGGCCTGATTTGGCGGCCGAATCTGAATCAAATCAGGAGACTCATTAAGAAGTCCAAATTGAATCGGAAGCCTCCAAATCAATTTGCAGAGATTCAGATGGCTTGCAGCAAGGCCTCATGCCCACACAAGGGCTACCATCCCTGCTGTTTTTAGTCCACTCTGCCTTAACACACACAAGCGGTATGAGTTTTGCTTTCAACAGTTCTGAGGTGCACTTTCACAGAAATCCCGGCACCTATTTCATTGAAACTTGGCAGGCTTCATGCCCTCAGAAGGAGCTACCATCCCTACTGTTTTCATCCAAATCCGCACAAAAATTGACAAAGTTATAGGTATTTTAGTGATTCATAGTCTATGGCCAAATCTCCGAATCAAATCAGGACAGTGATTCAAATCACCGAATCGAATCCCTGTCCCTCCAAATCCAAAGCAAATACTTGCTGCTTCGCACAGGCCTACCTGCTGGCTACCCTGCCTGTCAAGTTTGCAGACAGAATAAACCAAATCCGCACAAAAATTGACAAAGTTATAGGTATTTTAGTGATTCATAGTCTATGGCCAAATCTCCGAATCAAATCAGGACAGTGATTCAAATCACCGAATCGAATCCCTGTCCCTCCAAATCCAAAGCAAATACTTGCTGCTTCGCACAGGCCTACCTGCTGGCTACCCTGCCTGTCAAGTTTGCAGACAGAATAAAGAAGCAAGGAGCACAAAAATTGACAAAGTTATAGGTATTTTAGTGATTCATAGTCTATGGCCAAATCTCCGAATCAAATCAGGACAGTGATTCAAATCACCGAATCGAATCCCTGTCCCTCCAAATCCAAAGCAAATACTTGCTGCTTCGCACAGGCCTACCTGCTGGCTACCCTGCCTGTCAAGTTTGCAGACAGAATAAAGAAGCAAGGAGAGGGAGATTGAAAAGCTCAGTATCATCAACAGATGCATGCACTGCACCCCTTCCCCCCTCCTTTGCTTCAGAGTGCTAGCCCAGGACTGAGGTTTGGCAACACTCCTACTCCTTGAGCACCAAGCAGGAAAAAGCCTGAGCACGGTGAGCCTGAGCCACTCCCCTCCCCCCCACCCCAGCTCAGCACTAAAAAAGGGGAAGGGAGGGCTGCTTTAGCACCCCACGGATTCTAGCCTGAGCCACTGCAGGCATTTGCCTGCATTTCCTCAGTCCAGAGGATGTCTGTATAGTTGCATACTGGTTCAACCTAATCAAGTTAGACTACTCTGCAAAGACTGAATCAATTTAGGCTCAGGCTTTTTGAATGTCTGTCCCTAGCCATCAACAACAAGGGCCTACTGTTGGCTCATATTTAGCTTATTGTCCACTTTATGTATGTATTTAAATGTATTTAAACTTTTCAGCAAGACTAAACTATAGCTAAAACTAACATTTATTTTAAAACTTTAGCCTTTCAAGGACCAACTAGGATATTGCTTAATGAGATGTAAAACTGTAAACTGACCGAACACCAATAATTCCTAATCATTAATATTACTGGGTCCTAACTACATAACCAATTCCCTAAATGTCCACCCTTCAATTTGTTAGATGTATTAACTTACATCCTCAGCTTGCATTTCCTGATATTGTTTGCTTTGTCTGTTATCTTTTATCCTGATTTCATAGTTTAACGTTCCTCAGATAAAATACTAAAATCTCACACCTTTCCTTCTATGGTTAAATTTAACAGATTTAGCTCTAGGTAGTCCTCAAAATAAGGCAGGTTTTCCAACCCTCGTCTCAATCTCCTGACTCTTCTGTGAACCCTAATTTATCACAATTATTTTTGAACTACTGATACATTGGACACCATATTCCATTAGTGGTCACATCACTACCATATAATATAGTTTTTAAAAGTACGGTATGAACTGAAGTGGAGCCAACCCTCCACCCCTCTCGATCTCATATGTTCATACTCATGTACAAACACATGCATCTTCCAGCTGGTGTAATCAAGGTGGAAAGGTTAATTTGCTGCTTAGTAGCATGGAACTTCTTTACTTGTATGAGAGCTGCTGACCCAGGACAAGAGGAAATTAATTTCTCTGACAAACGCTCTTGGAGGAAGGGTAAAATGCATCAGCACCATGAAAACCTAGCCTATGTTATTTAATCCTTCTCTTTTTTGAAAAAGTTAAGCTTATGTTGGGGGCGGGGGGGGTGAAGAAAGTATGTGACTCACTAATTACACTGTATATTGCATAGCAAGGGTGTCACTGAAACATGCGAAAAATTAGGTAGGAAGTGAATGCTAGATGGATTCTTATTTCATACCAACATCTAAAAACAAAGTTTCTAATTCCTAGTTTTTGGAAATGTTTCTTCCAAATCTACACTGAAAAGGTGCTATTAATCAATGATTCTTAGTTACGATTTTAGAAGAACTTGAATCCCTAGCACCCATCTAGAATGCAGTAAGTACTTCCTGCTATTCTATTGACCAGTGGGGTCTTAAGTATTTTCATTGCAGGGGATAGAGTCCCATGTTATAGGATTTGTGCTAATCAGCCCAGGGCTGGGAATTCCATCCCTCAACTCAGAGTTAATTCTACTAGAGATCAAGATGCCTCCAAAGCTAAGCATTTCAGCGCTTAGTCTCCCATGTAAATTCACTTCTAAACTTCTAATATGACTTTACAGCCAAAGATATGGCAGAGACCAATTTAATATCCTATTGAAGATAAATTTAAACCTGACTGGCATCACTCTAGCAACATTAAGTTTTCACTTTAGAAGTTATTGCCCCTTCATTCTATTTGTTCGAAGCAGCCTGTGTTCAAAGAAGATGTGTGTAGAACTGTAATAAAGAAGTCATCAAATCACAAACTAGAATGAGAATTATTTTCGGATTCGTCATTGTGCTCTTCAATCAAACATGACCTGTGCTTTAGAGTCTCTCTGTAATAATCTTTAGTTCTTCCTGTTTTAGGCCAAGCATTGAGATACTATGCTTTTACATTTCTGCCCAGCACTGCCTCTTTTGCATATTTCTTCTGTCAGTCACAAAGGCATTTCATTGCACTCCCTCACTATTTGCTCTCTTAGGCCCCTAGCACATTACACTTGAGAATATGTGATGAACCAGTTAATCACATACTGTTACTTGGCCACATGTGAAATCAATTAATGGACTTATAAAATGAGGAATAAGCCATAGAGTTCTTACACAAAAAATATGCATGGCAGGAGGTGCAACTGTGGGATTAACCATATCCCATCACACTTTACTGCCAGTGCCAGCAGGGAGCTTGAGCTGAGCTCCCCCTGCAAGCTCCCACAGCTGGAAACCCAATGTCAATGGGTCTCCCAGCTGCAGGGGATCACCATGTGCATCCCCAGCTAGAAGTCCCATTAGCTGATCCAAGGTCCCAGGAAGTAGTCAGCTGATGGGGATCCCAGCTGTGTGTGGCACGTGTGTGTGGAATGGCAGGAAACACAATGGTGGGGATCATGCGTCAGACCCCACGGCATCTGTACATCTGCCAGTGTACATCACTGAATCATGCCTATACAGCTGTTCCCACATGCAGAATGAGTTCAGTGGCACTTGCAAGGGAGGCAGAAAGAAACCTAATTTTTCTTTCACTCCAGTATTACTACTGGGCAGGCACTGGGTGCAGAAGCAAAAGAATAGAGGGGGAGAAACCTGGGTTGTTATTCCTAACAAATCTTTGGATTCATTTTCTTGTTAGGCCAACAGGAAGAATTAACATTCACTAACTTTCTAAAAAACCTGTGGTTAAATTTGAGGCTCGTCTGTACAGGAAGTTATTGCACAGTTAGGTAGGGTAGGAATTTACAGCACACAGGCTACTATGCCCACATGTAGGAAGATACTTCAGAGGTCACAGGGCACACCACCAGTGGGGGGAGTTAGTATGGACTAACCCTAGACCAGATTTGGACCACAGAGACCCCTCCCCGGACTGGATCTATGCAACCGTGTTCGAGTGGCAGCGTGGGTCCAGGGGCATGCAGCTACACAGACCTGCGTTTGTGCAGTACAGAACCAAGGGACTGCATCCAGGAGCCACAGGCAAGCAGTGGCACAGAGCTCAGGCCTGGCAGCAGCAGGGAAATGCAGTTGTGCAGCAGCAGGGAGCCACATCCAGGCAGAGCTCCAAGCTGCCACATTACCCTAGCTCTGCACTGCATGAATGCAGCTCTGTGCCACATACCCTCAGCTCCCTGCCACTGCGTGCCCCTGGCACTGTTGGCTGCCAGAGTCCTGCGCCATTGGACAGGGGCACAGAGCCAAGGCCATGGAGCAGCATGGAGTCATGTCCATGTAGTTGCACATCCCCAGCTCTGTACTGCTGCCCAATGGCATGGAACTCTAGCCAGTCGGCAGTGCCGGGGTGTGCAGAAGTGCAGAGCCTATGGCATGCACCAGTAGCCCACTGGACTACTGGTGGGCTGGATACAACAGTTCCATGGGCCAGATCTGACCTGCAGGCCATGTTTGACCCCTCTGGATTAGCTAGTTTTGAAGCAATTCTAGTTTACTTCACACTAATTTCTCTGTGTAGTCAAGGTTTACCAACTTTTTGATAGCAAACTCATAATCCCTACCAGGGTCCCTTTATTACTTGTTTTAATAAGAACTCCTTGCACAACATTCTTAGGAGAAAGATCTACCAGGTTTCCTTTTAGGAAGTGGGATTGTTCTTAGCACCACACTTAATCATGTGGTAAGGAATAGTTCTCACTTTGTTTTGGGAGTTTCATTATTTTTTCCTCTGCTGTCCGATCTCTTTTTGCCCCTACTTCTGGACCGAGAGGAACTTCGGCTTCTACTGTTACTGCGAGCACGGCTATGGCTTCTGCTGCGACTACGGCCTCGCCTTTTCTTCCCTCTACTGCGTGACCGCCTTCTTTCCCGGCTCCTTGATCTGCTGGACCGGCGCCTTTTCTTGCTTTTGCGACTACTCTTTTTCCTCTCTGACTCTCCATTTCTTCTGTAAGAACAATCCGGGCTGGGGCTGCTCCGTCTCCTTGACTTGCTGTAATAGTCCTCACGATGGCTAGTTCTGCTTCTCCTTTCAGAGTTTTTAGCCAACTGATTAGTCCGTTCTGGAGAAATATGTATGTCCCTGTTGGCTTCCCAGAACTCGTTGTTTGGATTTCTGAATACATGAAGAAAGTTGCAGTGTTTCCCTCTTGGACACTTTTGCCGTTCAAATAACCCTGCAGATTTATTATAAAATGGAGAATACTCATAATGGAATATGAAAGCAACAAAAACCTAAGTTTTAAAGGGGATGACTCAACTTTTACATTAAACCCCATTTCAATGATTTGCTGCATTGAATCCATTTGATTTTTCCAATAAAAAGATAGATCAATTTGGGTTCCCTTTATACACCATCTAATTCACCTCACTGACAGGGACAGACACAACCATACTTCATACTTTAATCTTAGCAATGACACTTGCCCATCTCCATCTTAGAGCTTCAGTCTTCAGACATTTATTCATCTATACTTTTGTCCTGTATAGCATTTCACTGATTAGGATTCTAATTTGAAAGAAAAAGTTCAGAACAAATAAACACTGATTAAAATGCCCTAGTCATGCAAATTCCTCATAAAAAGGTTTTTCCCCCCCATTAATTTTAAGTAAAGGTATGTTAATCTTCCTGTAGTAACCTAAATGACATCCTAAAATAGTTGCCGCCCCTTTTTAAGGGCATTCAGATGTTAAAGAGAGTCCAGAGGTGGGCAACAAAGATCATCAAGAGTTTGTAAAGCAAGTCATACAAAGAGAGGCTGAAGGAGCTAGGCACATTTAGCCTGCAGAAAAAGTACCGTACTTAAAAAGGACATGATAGCAGTCTTCAAATACCTGAAGGGCTGCCATAAAGAGGAGGGCAAGTACCTTTTCTCTCTTGCTGCAGAGAGGAGGATGTGGATCAATGGCTTGAAGTTGCAGCAAAATTAATTTATGTTGGATATCAGGAAAAACTTCTTCACTGTTAGAATAGTGAGGCAGTGGAATAGACTGCCTAGGGAAGTTGTGGAGGTGTTCAAGAAGAGGTTGGACAGGCACTGGTCAAAGAGGATCTATATGTAGTTATGCATAAAGGATCTTGCCCCTCCACTAAGGATCAGACCAACATATCTGGAGTCAGGAAGGAATTTTACCATGTGGTCAGACAGGTATGGACTATGGGAGTTTTTGCCTCCCTCTGTAGCAGGGGGCATGACCTAATTTCCTAATATCTTGAGCATATATTGACATTTTTTCATAGAAGCAGGATATTGGTGCCATGGTTTCCCTGCTTTACCTGTGGCAGGTTAGGGTGTTTGTGTTGTGTCAGGGTTGACAGTAGGGCTGTGCGAAGCTTCAGTCACCGATGCAGATGCAGCGCTATATCTGCAGGGCACCGCATGCTGTTTGGGAGCCGAGGCGGCTCCATGTGTCAGCCAGAGCCTGGCACCATTCTGCCCTAGTGGCCCCAGCTCCCAGACAACGCACAGAGCCCTGCCAAGCTGCGCTGCACCCACGCCATAGGGCAGCTGCCACACAGGTGCCATCTCCCCTGCCCCCCACTGCACAGGGGGGGCTCTGCCATGAGTGCCCAGAGGCCCCCATCACTGTCCTCCGAATCGCACAAA